TTCCACCAAGAGTTCCCCACAGAGTAGAAGCTAGTTTGTTACATGCAACAGGTAAGCCAAGGAATATCTTTGAGTTTAAAATAAAATCTGAAGCAACATTATGGTGAACAGTAACTTAATATAAATAATTTTATTTTTAATAACAAATATAAAATGTCAAAAAGCTTCATATTTCTTATGAGAAAGATATCCCAGACCTCAGCCAAGCGCTTGATGATAGATACCCTCTCTCCTTCTTGGGTTTCTTATGATGAGTAAATGAAGAACTGTATTGTGAAAACACATAAGTAGGAGTAGTGTCACTTATGTTATTTAAGTATCAGTTATATCACTTAAAATATAATTTTAAAAGCACTGCGCATGTGAACATATAATTTAACATGATTTCAAAGGTGTTTTGTAATGAAATTTTATAGTATCCCTTTTGAGGGTATTTTTTAAGCATATATATTTTTCTGGTTTAACTATTCTAATTAGAAAACAGGGAGCCAGAAGACAATGTAGGAAGATATAAAATAGACATGTTCTACCAACTCTGTTATTTACTCATACTCTAAGGAGTGATACCAACATTAAAGTATTAAGACAAAATTGGCAATTTGACATTATCAGTTTCATTTTTTCATCTTTGCTGATATAGTATACTGTTACATGCTGTGCAATTAGGCAGTGAAATGGTTTGTGAAACACTCGACAGTTATCATGTATTTCTTATAAGATTTACTACTTTTCAAAACAGCATAAAATAATGAAATATTACTAATACTAATGGTATGCTGAACATACTTTAATATGGAAATTAAAAAATTTTTCCTGGGATTTTCATTTTTTTTGGATTAGTGTTAGTGTTAAATTTTAAGGATTTGTATATATTGGGGTATTTACTCTATCTTCCTGAAGCCTATCAAAATGCTTATGGAAACCTATTATTTTTGAACAAAATACGTATGTATATTCTCTATTGTAAAAAAAAATAAATAATTTTCTTTGGTTAGCATACATGCTAATATATATATTTATTGTCAGTAGGTCTTCTTTTGTACATGTACTTTCTAGGAAACAGAGGTTAAAAGTAATTTTATAAGACATTTGCCACTTCTTTTTAACTTCCTTAAATCTAGTAGACTGACTCTTGCTTTATTATTAGCTCCTGAAGTTGTCAGTTGATAAAACTAGAAAGAATTTTCTTCCTGGACTTTCTTTTTATTTATATTTTCCAGCTTTTTGGGGAATAATTGTCAAATAAAATTGCATGCATTTAAAGTGTATAACATGATTTGATATACACACACATACGCATACATGCACATATACATACATACATTGTGCAATAATTACCATGATCAAGATAATTAAGACATCCATCACCTCACATAGTTAATTCTTTTTTGTGTATATGGCCAGAATGGTTAACATCTATTCTTAACAAGATTCAGTTATACAGTACTGTATTATTGACTGTAGTCACCATACTGTGTATTTGGTCCTCACAACTTACTCATTTTATCACTCAAAGTTGATAAACCTTGGCCAGCATTTCCCAATTCTCTAACCTTCCAAACCCTGGCAGCCACCATTCCACTGTTTTTATGAAGTCAACTTTTTGTTTTATTTCTACATGTAAGTCATACTTGAGAAATATACACACACACACACACACACACACACACGACTTACTTCACTTTGCATAATGTCATCCAGTTTCATACATGTTCTCACAAACAAGATTTCCTTTCTCCCTGCCTTCCTTGCTTATTTCCTTCTTTTTTTCTCTATTTTTTAAATTTTTATTGAAGAAACATAAGTTCAGAACACTGTAGGTTTTAGTAGTATGGAGACTGCAGCAGTTTACATTCCCACCAGTAGTATCGCAAGAATTCCTTTTTTCTGTACCAGCTTGCAAGTAGGGTAGAATCTTAGAGACTTTTCAGTTCTGAAATGCCAGAGAATATGTGTTTCTTTCTTTCTGGAGAGTGAAAATAAGAATGTAACTGCTAGTCTTCTAGGAGTCCAGTAGTAGAAGAGCTTTGAGAATCTCTCTATTATTCAGTATGGCTATGCTCACAAACTCATACTCCATTTTGCACATAGGAAAGAGGATATAGGAATTTGTTCTCTTCTTTGTTGATAGATCATCTCAATTAAACATAGTCAGACTTCTGACTTTGAAATTGCTGCTTTTCTTACCTCTTTTTCCTCTCTGTTTTTCTCAATGGCACTTACTACCTTCAAACATATAATATCACTGACTCATTATTTTTGTTCTTTATCACCCCTCCTGTTAGAATGTAAGCTCATAAGCTCAGAGATTTATCTCTTTTACATTATTATATATCCCCAACACCTAGCACTTAATAAATATTCAGTAAATATTTGTTGATTGGATGAGTGAATGAATGACTAAAAGAAACTTGCAAATTTTTGCCCATTGCTCCTGGTTTGAAATTAAAATTAAAGTCACTGGTATATCTTTTTTAAAGTTTTAAGTGTAAATTGAGGATATAAGTAACTTTCACAAAAGGCTAATTATTCTATCTGGAAACAATTTAGAATAATTTTATTTTGTGCATATTTTTTTATTTCCTGCTAGAATTACCTTTAGTACATGCCTAGTGGAAGTGTTCAGTTTTCTATGGAACATTTCTTGCACTCTGACTATAAAATATATATCTTTTGATGATAGAACCAATAGGATTTTTCTGATGAATTGGTTGTAGGATATTAAATAAATGCTTCAAGAAAGAGAGGATATATAACTGTCAGATGCTGATTGTAAATCAAATAAGATGAGTTCTGAAAATTCACCATTGCTTTTAAAACACAAGTCATTCATGATCTTGATAAGAGGAGTTAGTTAATGGGCCAAAGCCTGGTTAAAATGTGAATTAATTATTATTGCATAAAATTTACCCAAAACTTAGTTTAAAAAAATGAAACAGCATTTCACAGTTTCATTAGACTTGGAACCCAGCAGTTGTTTATCTGCTTGCTTCTGGGTCAAGATCTCCCAAGAAGTTGCAGTCAATTACTCTACTATAATCACACAAACCATGTCAATACTTCTATTGCATATCCTGGTATTTTGTGGAAGAAATTGTATAAAACAGTGAATTCCAGGAGATGAAGATCTTTGAGGGCCATCTTGGGGACTAGCTATCACAAAATAGACTAAAGAGAGAATGGGAGGAGATGAATTAGAGACATTAAATACCAAAGAATCTTTTGAGGAGTTTTACCAAAAGGCGGAGCAGAGAAATAAGAAATGTGTTCAGGTGTATCTGCAAGTAAGTGAGTAGTGAAGCTTATTGAACTTTTCTGATTGCTTTTATTTAAACCAAGGTTCAGTTGGCCTTCAAAGAATCTCTCTATTGAGAGATTGAAGGTTATTCAGAGAGGCTGAAGGTTAGGTTTGAGAAGAGAAAATAATATATGAAGTAGTCATTTAGAAATGTGGAGAGAGAATGGATTCAGAAAATATAATATGATTGCTAAACAGCGCTAAGGATCTTTTTGAGAGAGGTGGTAATGAATTCAAAGTATACTCAGTCAGAAGAGCCTTGTATTTCCCCCCAGCTGTATTTCCTCTTGTGGATATAAGTACAGACTAGGCAGAGAGTTGGGTTTAAAAAGATTGGAACTTATCCAGGCAGATATGACAGAGCAAGGTTAGCAAAGATGTGTGATAATGATAGATCATAGAATTTAAAATGGGGAAAGTGAAGACTTGTGAGAAAATAGATAATAAAAAGGAGTAGGACTCATGGAATCTGCTAAGCAGAGCCAAAGGATTATTAGAGAGAGTGAGCTGAAAACAAGAGGTATGAGAAAGGCATTTGATTGACATTTAAATTACAGAGGAATTACAGTCAAGGGAAAAAGTCAAGGGAATAACCTTAGTGGGAATTGCTGAAGAAAGGCTAGAAGGCAGAACACTTAAGAGGAAAAGAATTTAGGAAGTCCAAGATTAGAAGTTTGTCACCAAGGACAATGCCTAGAGTAGTTTTGAAGAAAGTTACTTAAATTAAGAAATAAAGCCTTCAAGAAAATGCTGGCTTCCAGGAAATTGTAGAGACTGCAAAAAAATGAGTGAGATGATGAGTGGTACTGCTTAATCACATGAGATTTGAAGCTGATGGTAGAGGTGATTTCAGAGAAAAGGAGACAAAGAATGTCTGTGAAAGCATTAGGATAATGTCAAAAACAATGTTAAGTGAAAATACTAATTTACTTGTATTCTATTTTGTCTTCTACCTGTTAATGATGTATTTTCTCTGTTTTAGGTATGACTTTAGCCTTTCCAGCTTCAGTTCATGATTCTTTGATTTGCAGTAAAACATTTCAAATCTTGTATAAAAATGAGGAGATTGTTTTAAATGATGTTATGATCTTCAAAGTTAAAATGTTGTTGGATGAAAGAAAGGTAAACAACTCTTCATATATATTTAAAAAATTATTTTTTGTAAAGCCTCAAGGCATATTTCTCACTTTCTATATGTATTCAAAAAGTTTCTCATTTTGTAATTTCTCTTCAGATTGAAGAAACCCTTGAGGAAATGAGTTTTCTGTTATCCTTGGATCTACACTTCACAGACGGTGATTATTCGTAAGTAGGCTAATAGAGAATTAAAAATCTTAGTGTTAGAATCCCCATTTTCTTTCTTAGAACCCAACCTGTGCCCTTCTTGTTTAAATTTTGTATATCTCTGGGCACATTTCATGAGGATGGTTAGACCTTTACTTTTGTAACCCTGCTGATTCTATGAACTCCAGGTAGTGAAAGCAGACAAGTTGAACAAATAGGACATGATTTCCTGGACTCTGTAAACTGCATTGCTCATATAATACCACTGCCACAAGGCTTTTAAATATAACAGAGTTCTTTTCCAATATACCACCAGGTAATCTTATATAGTAGCAGAACTTTTTTTGATAGTCAGTTATCAAGACTGATAACATTTACATTTGGCAAGCGTTTCTAGTTCATTAACTTTAGAACACTCCTGCTTGCTTCGACAGCACATATACTAAAATTGGAACAATACAGAGATTAGCATGGCCCCTGCACAAGGATGACAAGCCAATTTGTAAAGTATTCCATATTTTTCTGAAAACAGATAATGGAGAAAATATGTATGTGGTTGGACACTTCAACACCCCACTCTCACCAATGGACAGATCAATGAGAGAATATAAACGAGGGCACATTTGCCCTAAACAAAGAAGGAGGTGGGGGGATTAAAATTAAAGCAGAAATAAATGAAATAAAAGTCACAAAGACAGTCCAAAAGATCGGTGTCTCTTTGGGAAAAGTAGACAAACCCCTAGCTAGGCTCACAAAGAAAAAGAGGGAGAAAACTCAAATATGATCATTAATGAAGAGGAGAAATTACAAAAAACATAGCAAAAATCAAGACGATAATAAAAGGTTCCTATGAATATTTATATGCAAGCAAGTTCAACAATCCAGATGAGATAGACAAATTCTTAGAATTAAACAATCACTTGAGAATAAGGAAAATATAGAATGGAAGCCAAGAAATTGAACTAGCCATCAAAATTCTTTCAAAAAACAAGAGCCCAGGATCAAATGGTTTTATAAGTTCTACCATACATTCAAAGATGAACTAATACAAATCCTGTTCAAATTCTTTCAAAAACTTGAGAAAGAAGGAACACTTCCATATGCATTTTATGAGGTCAACATCATACTTATACTGAAACCAAACAAAGACAACACAAAAGAAAACTACAGACTAGTCTCCCTCATGAACGTATGGACACTAAAATCCTCAATAAAATCTTGACAAACCAAACCCAATGGTGCATCAAAAGAATTATATACCAAGATAAATCTTAAAAAAAAAAAAAAAAAGACCTAGTGGAATTTATTCCAAGGACAACAAGGATGGCTTAACATTAAATCAGTCAACATAATTCACCACATCAACAAAAAGATAAAAAAACCATATTATCATTCCAATAGATGTAGAGAAAGCATTCGATAAAGTTCAACATCCATTTATGATGAAACCTCTTCTAAAAACTCAGGATAACATAATCTCAACATAATAAAAGCCATTTATGACAAACCCACAACTAGCATCGTTCTCAAGGGAGAAAAACTGAAAAAGCCTTTCCACTAAAATCTGGTAAAAGACAAAGAACAACCACTCTTACCACTACTATTCAACGTAGTGGTGGAAGTCCTAGCTAGAGCAGTTAGGCAAGGGAAAGACATAAAAAGAATCCAAATAAGGAAAGAAGTAATAAAGCTATTATTTGCAGGTAATATGATTATATAGTGAACCCTAAAAAATCCATGGGAAAATTAAAACAATAAACTAGTTGAGTAAAGTAACCAGTTACAAAATCAATACATAAAACTCAGTTGCCTTCCAATCTGCAACAACCAGCCTGTAGAGAATGAAATTAAGAAAACCATCCATTTATGATTATACCTCCAAAAATTGACTACCTGAGCATAAACCTAACAAAAGAGGTGAAGGTACTATACAGTGAAAATTACAAAACATTGTTAGAAGGAGGCACAAAGAAATGGAAAGATAGTTCCTGCTCCTGGATGGAAAGAATCATTATCAAAATGACCATCCTACTCAAAGCAATTTACAGATTCAATGCAATTCCAATTAAAAAAATTAGCAATTGCATTCTTCAAAGAAATGGAACAGATATTGCTGAAATTCATATGAAATCACAGAGTACCCCCGAATAGCCAATGTTCTTCTGACTAACAGTGGAAGAATGGGGGTATTATACTTCTAGACTTCAAGCTATGCTACAAAGCCATAATAATAAAAATAAGCTACTGAAACAAAAACACACAGAGATCAATGGAATAGAATTGAAAGCCCAGAAATAAAAACACACATACATGGTCAAATAATCTATGACAAAGGCGCAAAGAATATACACTAGAATAAGGAAAGTCATTTCAACAAATGGTGCTGGGAAAATTGGACTGCCACATGCAAAAGAGTTTGAAATTAGACTACTATCTCACACCATGCGCAAAAATCAAAATGAATAAAGGACTTGGATGTAAGTCCTGAAACCATAAAATATATAGAAAACATAGGCAGAAAACTCCATAGCATAAACTTCAGAAACACCTTTGAAACAGAAGCAAGGAAAACAAAGAATATAAACAGCTGAGACTATGTCAAATGAAAAAGCTGTACAGCAAAAGTGAAGAGACACCCTACTGAATGGGAGAAAATATTTTCACTTTGTACATCTGATAAGGGACTAATAATATCAAAGATCTACAAAGAGCTCACACAACTCAACAAAACAAACAACCCAATAAAAAAGGCAGAAGAGCTAAATAGAAACTTCTCCAAAAAAACACAAATGGCCAAGAGGCCTATGAAAAAATGTTCAACATCACTTATCAGTGAAATGCAAATGAAAAGCACAATGAGATGCCACCTCACACTGGTGAGAATGTCCCATATTAAAAACAAGTGTTGTTGAAAATATAGAGAAAAAGGAATCCTCTTAACACTCCCGGTGAGAACTGTAATCTAGTCCAGCCAATACTCAAAGCTGTGTGAATATTCTGGAGGAATATCCTTTAGAACATTCGCTAGAAATGGATGTGCCATATAACCTAGATACTCCAACCCTGCAACCTACCCAAAGAACGCAAAAACACTAATTCAAAAGGAAACATGCACTTCTATGTTTATTACAGCACTATTTATAATAGCCAAGATAAGGAAACAACCTAAATTCCCAAAAACATGCATGGATCAAGAAGATGTAGTAAATATGCACAAAGGAATGCTACTCAATGATCAAAATAGATAAACCTGTTCCATTCACAGCAACATGAATGGGGCTAGAAGGGCTGATGCTCAGTGAAGTAGGTCAGAAGAATAAAGATAAATATCAGGTAGTTTCACTTTTATGTGGCATATTGAAAAAACAAAGGGTCAAAGACAAACCTTGAAAGCTAACCATAGATATGAGGCATCCATGATGGGAGGGTGAGAGCACAAGGAAATATGGTGATAGATTATGGGTGTTCTGGTGGTGAGGGAACTATGGTCATCATACGTGAAGGGAGAAATCATATATTGTCAAAAAAAAATACCTAGAATACATGAGGAATTTTTATGACTGGCTGCCTTGAACTTGCCTGTACACTGGACATGCAGTTGTATTTTTACAAATTATTTGTTATTTAACACAATAATGAGAGATCCATTTCACTATTTTATTTTTATAGTTTTACTTTTTTAATTTCAGATGTCCTTATAGAAATAGTCTTGGAAATTGTCTATAAATTCAGACTTCATGTATGATAAATGATTAAGCAGTCACATTACTGAAAGGTCTGAGATAACCTTTTTACTATCAGGGAAGAAAAAGAATATTTTACATTGTAGCTACTGCTTACATACAATACTTGTGTTACAAAGAATTCTTTAAGGGATTCTTTTCTAACCAGCTCAGAAGTCTATAAGTGGAATAAGCTGAAAAGAGTAAGTGGTTCTTACCTGTAGATAGTTATAATGTATGTATGAATTAAAAATATATGCATATGTATTTTGATATTTTCATGGCATTGTTTCCAGATTTTCATGTGTGTAAATCTAATGACAGACTAAATATAGTAAAATGTGAACCAGGAACTTATTTTTATATAACATTTAATAACAAAAATATGTACAGTAAAAATTATATCTTTTGATATTTATAATAGTATTAGACTTATGTTATGCTAAAGCCTTTTAATAAAAAAAATTCCCTATGGAGTAAAATTTAATAAAAGATGAAAATAACTTATGAAGCATTAAAAAGAACTTAATTATAGGGATATTAGTGAAAAAACTGTTGATATCATGGGCTGACAGAAACCTATAAGAGGGATATGTTTATTTTCTTATAGTTAGACTTCATGTATCTAATGCCAATGTGATGAATAAAAACTTTTCTCATTCTAAATTTTGAAAAAGCAGTATATAACTAAATGTCTTGGTAACTTAAACTATAAAATATTGGCCTCTACTAATTATTCCATATTTATATGCATATGTTTTGCTTTTTATAGGGCAGATGATCTGAACTCTTTGCAACTAATAAGTAGCCGAACATTGAAGCTGCACTTTAGCCTCCATAGAGGTCTTCATCATCACGTTAATGTTATGTTTGATTATTTCCACCTTTCAGTTGTGTCTGTTACGGTCCATGCATCATTGGTTGCACTACATCAGCCACTGATAAGGTAATTTTAACCAATACCCTAGTCCTGTGAATGCAGTATCTTTTATTTTTATATAGAAAATTATACTTTGATAAAGATAACTAATATATATATATAGGATTTTTCTAAATTCATAATTATTTACTAGTTTCATTTATGCTAAATTAAAACAGTAACATTTAGCACATGAGAACATTAGATTGATAAATTTCTTTATTTTGGAAGTGTGGGATAATCTTTGTCAAATAAATTGACCAAGAAAAATAATGCAATCTGGAAATAACCATATAGCCTTATTTAGCCTATTATGCATTGCTTTACTGTACTTATTCTCTGGAAAAAAATGTTTATTTTTTACTTATTCTCTGGAAAAAAATGTTTTCTTATTTATCTGTTCTCTGGATATGCTAGTTTATCTTTTTAAATCTACTTTATATAGCAATTCTTGCTTTCTAAGTCATTAAACCAATTTTATGAATCTTTACTCTTTTAAATATATATCATGGACCATTTTAACTTAAAGGTATGTATTATTCTGTGTCATAAATGAGTGCATTTGGAATAATTAATTTTCTTGCCCGTTTCCATAGGGATGGATTGTCTTCATTAATTAAGAATATATTCAGGCTTTTCAGTTTTTACAGTAAAACATCATCCTTGTGGTGTGGGCAACAAATGGATTCTTCTAAAATCATTAACTTCAAATTGACTTGATTTCTCAACCTTCATTTGACAATTTCTGACACAATTCTGATTCCAACAACTAATAAATAGGGCTGATACTTAAAGGTTATAATGTTTACCTGATTTATCAGAAAATTAAGTAGGTGATTTTATATAGTTACCCTCAGAATTTGTAGAACAGCAATAAAATT